AACTTTAAAAGAGACCTGGAACATGGAGAGTTGGAAATAAATGATCAGCTACACCAGTGACCACCCCCACTTTTAAAATGGATAATGATGTTGGCTCTTGACATCTATGCTAATGATGATAGATATTACCAGTGCCTGAGAAATAGGAGGGATTCAACACCTGTTTTGGTACATTTTTAATGCGTCTTTAGCAAAACTTTGACAGGCATCGATGGCGTATTCTGCACTGTGTCACTTGCTTTCCATGACAAGCTTGGAGATAGAAAGTGTTGCCATTTCTCAGGTGTGCTTGTGAAGTTCAGAATGTCCAACTGCTTTCCTCTTCACAGAACCCACCAGTAGCATGTGTCAGGATTAAAACCTACATCATCTAACTCCAAGCATAGCGGTGTTCTTCCTGCTATACCTCAACTCTAAGGTCAATGATGAACCATGAAATGTTTTAAATTCCTTATTACAGAAGCAGGAATTATTAGTCACCACTGTGTCCTTCCTCGTACCTTAAGGCGCAAACATCAAACATACCTAGTGATTTTTAGAATGGCAATGAAGTTGTGGTGTTCTTCCCACAAGGGAAAATTGTCTTATTCTTTTGAGTACATTTGATAAGGCAGTTATTTTTTTTTAAAGTCAGTGAATCTTAAATGTCTTTTCTATTGGTTTTCAATTGGTGTCAAAACAAATTACCACACACGTAGTATCTTAACATCACCCAAACATATTGCATTCAAGTTTAATAGATCAGAAGTCCAGTACGAGTCTCTAGAGACTAAAATAAGTTTGTCAGGATCTGTTCCTTTTGTGGGAGCTGGGGGAGGTGGGAGTCTGGGGAGAATTCATTTTCTGCTCATTGTTGGCAAAATTCAGATCCTGGAGTCTGCAGAACGGAAGCCCATTTCTTGGCTCCCTTTCATGGAGGTACCTCCCAGTCTCTAGACCACTGCATTCCTTAGCTGAGGCCTCAGCTTGCCATCCTCAAGTGCAGCAGGTGGAATCCTTTTCATGTCCAATCTCTTTGATCTACTGCTGCCTTTTTCTTTTACTTAAGAAATCTCCTGTGTTTTCATTGAGTCTATCTATATAATCCAGGGTTGTCTGGACATTTCATGGCCCTAAATCTTAATCATTTCTTTAAAATCCCTTTTACCAAGTAAGGTAACCTATACTCCGGTTCCAGGTGACTACAGCATGGACATCTTCGGGGCCCAGATTTCTGCCCACTACACCTTTCACATCTGCTCTCTTTTCTCATCATGTTGTAGCAACTGTAATCTCTGTAGACTAGAGAAAGACCTTGGCCTTCATTTCTTCATTTGTGAAATCCTTGAATGTAACGTTGCTTCCACTCTTAACTCGTGTATAAATCCTTATGATAGAGAGAGGCATTGGAAAGTAAGCCTAATGATCAATGTGAATATTACTGTTATTTTCTATTCATGGATTTTGCTGGAGTGTGGATTTCATATAATCCTGACTAACTCCTTCCCTCTCACACTTGGTAATCTTCTTTGAAGGCAGTCAGTCTCTACAAAAGTTGACTTCTTCAGGAAGAAATTGACTTACCTGCTCAAAACTATAATAACTGGTCCCTTGAGATTTTTTTTATCTACTTATTTACTCTACAGTTTGGATATAGCTTTCAGCAAATCTTTGGTGCATTTTTGCTTTTGCTTTATTGATATGAAGAAAAAGAAATTGTTTCTTCTTTAATTTAGTTTCTTAGTAAGTCAGATTGTACCTGTACCCAAGCATAATAAATACTTCCAAAGTTTTAAAAGGTATTATGCCTAATTTACCATTAAGGAAAGATATTAATTAATGATTTTTCTATTGTGCCACAACATTAGCTGCTTTACATATTAATTTGCCCATGTACAAAGTGGAGAAAATATTAATGCCTAACTCCTGGAGTTAAAAAAATAAAATAAAAAACAAAAATTCTAGGAAAGTACTTAATACCCAACATTTAATAAATAATAGATATAAATAGCTAATATTTTGATAGTAGTAATAGTAAGAGTGGATGTGAAGAACGCATCCCAGTATGCTCAGGACTTTCTAGTTTTAACACTGAAAATCCAACATATTGGGAAATGCTTCAATCCCAGGAAAAGTCAGATAGTTGGTCACCCTAGGAATAGTAGTTTGGAAACAAGAGATAAATATAAATAAGGGCCCTACTTTCTACAAACTATTTTACCTAAAAGAAATTATTAAGTTTTTGAGTTGCTGTTTCTTTATCTGAAAATATATATGAAATAATAGAACCCTTATTTTTTTTCTTGCTCAAACCATCTTTACTGGCTTTATTCTGCTTAGATATTTCAGCACAAAAGGTTTTGCTTAATATGAAGAGGACCTTCAAGATCTGTTTCTATCCTGCCCTTTCATATACTATATTCCTTCCTCCTACTCATGATGATAATAACAATATTGATGATGATGATGATGACAGCTAATGTTTATCTAGTGCTTTCTACATTGCAAGAACAGCTCTGAAGACTTTATAAGAACTTAAACAAAAGAGTCCAGAACTACTCACTATTTCTTGTACACATGACTTTCATATATTCTATTCAGACTATCGCCATGCTATTACCAGAAATTGTAAATTCCTTTTGTAGATACTTTAAGATCCTGCCTGAATATCACCTCTTCTGCGAAATCCTCCCAGAATCCACAGGACAGGAATTTATCTCTCGCCCTTCACTGACCTGCAAACAATTTACTCATAATGTTAACACTCCTTACTGTGCTATGTTTTTCATTATATCAAACTTTTTTTTTAATGTATCTGTATCCTTCACCAAAAAAACGCCTGTTCATATTTCTAGCATCACGCATAGGACTCTGTTGGTTGGTTTGTTTGTGAAATGAATGGAAGAGCAATTGATTTACTTTACACTTAAAGATTCCCTAAAGAGTTTGAGATCAATATCTATTTTTATAATATCTATCAAAAACTGTAACAGCTCGTTTACTGTGCAGAAACCCATATGGCTTTAAGAACTATGGAATATAAAGATTAAATAATTAAGATGAAATAATAATAGAATACAGTGGAAACGGTGTCTATTGTTGCAATCAATTCTTTAAAGTCAGAAGAAGCAGATGTTACAAATAAGAGGACTAAATCCATCACAGACAGGTTTAGCTGAATGGTAGACTTGCTCTGCTTACTGCTGGGAGAACTGCTGACCCTGATCTGTGGACTTAACTGTTTCTCTGGAGTTAAAGGAGCTAAAATCTGCATAATTAAGACCTACTGTTTAATTGGATATGGGTCACTATCATTTCAGATTGAAGAAGCTTGCTTGTGGTCACATTCCAGTTTGAAAATGGAAATAAATAGAAATGGTCACTCAGACGGGTAACCCTAGAGACAACTTGATAATATTTTTGCCTAGATTGTTAAAAATTACAGCTTGATATAAAATTACTTCTTGCCTCCAGTGCTTGCAGATACTTGATTTTTTAATGGTTATACTAGCTAAATATTAAGATATGCGGTTGAAAACAATTAAGACTTTAAAATGAAACAAAGATTGATTAGGAAAAAATCAGTATTGCCACTTTTTCTTGCAATTGATCTGGTGTACACCTCTTCTGTTTTAATATTTTCAGACTTATTTTTAAATGTGCCCATCATGGTTCATATTTTAATTCAATTATTATTCTGTGGTAGTTTAATCTCTCATCATACAATTGAAACTTCGCGAAATGGGATAGCCTTCTTTTTAACATGCATCGTTTTTAATATGGCTCCACAGTTAACAATGGGTCCATGTCTCATGCATTATCATTGTTGTCATTCAGCGGGTGAAAAGGGTTTCCCAGATTCCTCAGAGATTTGAAATGGCCAGATTACATGGAACTCCTCAAGTGAGCACTTGTTAACGCCAATTTGGGAAATTGGTGATAGCACAAAACATGTGGGAAAGTCCCAGGCTGGGCTGAGGTCCCTTTGGCAGGATCATATCTGGGTAGAAATGCAGTTCAGAAATTACCTTGAGACCCTTGTATTGTGCTCTGTGTTGTGGTTTTATGATATTTGATATACAGAACATGGGCTGCTGAATGATAAAAAGTCTGAATGCCAGTTCACTGTGACTCATCAGAAACAAGAGTCTTGCTAAGCTTACTTATTTCCTCCCAGTTTATTTCCTACCATGTCCATGATTCAGCATCGTTAAAGAAATAACCTAAAATGCTGAAGCATTTGAGCTTCGTATTTAAAATGTCCACTGATCGCTTCTCGGCCTTTTGGCTAAGATCAAGTGTAAAATGTCCACTGAAATCATTTTGTCTCCCTGCTCCTAAGCCTCTCAGAGGATATCATGCTTTACATGCTCTGCGTTTGATTTTATTCACAATTCTCCTTTTATAGTCTTTCTGAAGACAGTGTATGGTTGATCATTAGCATTATTATTATTATTATATTATTATTATTATTTCAGCTACAGTCTAACTACATATCCACACTTAGCCAAGGGGTTGGGTTGACTTCATTATGCATTCAGAATAAATTCCTCCTCTGATATAAATGTTGCTCAGGATACGAGCTTTGAAATGGATCCCAATTCTTTACATTCTTCCCTGACTGTTTCAGGAAATAGTGAGATCCTGTTGATAGTAAAGGACAATGTGTCTAAAGTTCACTTCCAAACACCCTGCTCTTTGCCATGAATGTCTTCGTCGTCTGCATTCTCTTTATAATTCAGAGCCAGGAGAGAGCTGACTAATCTTGGCGATCTGATCCAGTATCATTGAGGGGGGGAGGGGAAGATCCTTGATGATAATTCTACCATTTCAGATTAGTGCAAGCTGGAAAGTTTGACAGCTTTTGTCATCTTAAAAAGATATCAGGGGGCCGGGGAATGAGGCCTCGGATTATGGTTCTGGAGATTTAGTTGTTTGCAAAGAATAAAATGATCCGTTATTATTCAAGGTTTTAATCAATGAAAGCAAACGGCATCTGTGTGTTGTACTTCTCTCTGCAGAAGACAAAGGCGCAAGCCCCCATGGTGCTGACTGCTGGTCCCAAGTGGCTGCTGGATGTGACTTGGCAAGGGGTGGAGGACAACAAAAACAACTGCATTGTGTACAGCAAAGGTAAAGGCGAGAACCCTCTGCTCCTCCTTTGCAAGTATTGGAACCTGGGGGTTGCACAATAGCTCCAAATGAGCTGGGATGGGAGGACAGAGTCAAAGTTGGTCCTCTCTGCCTTTCTCTCTTAGGATCTCTCTTACCCGTGTTTGCAGCAAAATCTAGTGCTTTTTTACAACGTAAAATCACAGTATGAAGCCCTGAATATTTAGTGCCATATGCATGTTCCTAAACTCTGTTCATATTTGAGTGCCCCTTCCTTGTTCTCTACGTTTTTAGGGAGGGCTGGTTTGAGGAAATCCCAGGTTTCTCTCGAAGGCATTATTGATCAATAAGCAAATTCCTGGTGACAGCACTTCCTGTCAAGGTGTGTGCTCCTGGAGGCACTGCATTCCAGCTAGGTCCTTGAAATCACTCAGGATGACGGACAGGGGGACAGCTTAAAAGGAACCCATGGCAAAGATGGAATTCTTCCCAGTAGTGATTTCTGAAGGGCAGAAGGTGAGCGGGAAAGAGGAAGCGATGGCTTGCAGAGCTTTGCCTTTGATTTGCTCAGTGAGCCATCAGCCTAGCCTGTGTCATCCAGCTATGCCTGGCTATAGAGGAGATGAGCCGCAGCTCACAGCTCCGTGGTGACATATTGTGGGGCTGGCTCCCCAGAACACAGACCCCCTCCTGTGTGTGGTGTGGTTTGGGGCCCTTTGCTCCACATTCAAGTTATGGACCCGCGCTCTGTACTTTTTCCAGTGAAATCCCTAATCGCTGTACTTTGTAAATATTGCAGAACCTTGTGCTTCTCATGTTTAATTTCTCTTAGCTTTCGTTTTTAACCAAACAGACCTACTGAGATCAAAGATGTATTTGCACATTGAACCCAGACGCCATGAAAGCATACAAGGGACCAAGCAAATAAGCGCCCCTATCAATGCATTAACATAGAAAACACTAATCATAACATCAAAGGCTCTTAAAAACTTGCTAGAAACAATTACAACTTGTTCCTATAATCATTATAATTTGTACACTCATAAGAGGATTGCCATTACACTGTCGTAGCCTTTGAAAGTGGAAACACCGGAAAAAGGGAATTTGCAAGCTAAGAAAACAATCTGCACAGCAGGATCTGATTATATCCCTTTTCCTTCTATGATTGCTGGTCCCATACCCACTAGTTTCTAACCCTAAATACCTGTGCTGTGCTGGCAGGGGAGCTTTTAGCTGGAAGAGAAGGTAGATTTTACCCAGGATACATCAATATGATCTGTCAACATGGGAAGAAATGGTCCTATGGGACTCTGCCATTACACGTGCAACTGGTACATGATGAGAAGATCATCTCCAACCACGCAGGCCTTTATGTCCAGAGATCATGGCGTATGTATTAATGTGGAACTTCCCAAAGGGTGTGTATGTGTTTTCTTTCCAATGAAATTCCACAGGGATTAGTGCTCTGGGCAACACACTTGGGAAAACTTGGCTGTAGACCCTACTCTCCTCAATGGGCTTCAGAGGCCTGGTGTTAATTTTGGGAATTCAGATTTTCATTGGAGAGAGGAGATAGCTCCTCCATAGTAGGTCTTCACGTTCTGGGAATACCTCAATATTTTGGCATTGGAATAGGTTTCATTTGAGTCATGGAAAATGTGACTCCGGGAAGCACACTTACCAGGACCACATGGGCTCTGAGGCCTTTTGTTGTTAACAGCCAGCAGGTATGGCAGAACCGCTCAAAGCAAATGAGTTTTGTAGGTGGAAGGATTTAGCAATTTAGATTTAACAATATGGACTTGAAAATCTCCAATGTGTGAGGCATTGTCATAGTGTGTATGTTATTTTGGGATGCTCTTGTTTTCAGGTGATAGAAATCCAAATGAAGTTCACTTGGTGTGTGCGTGCTTGTGTGTGTGTGTGTGTGTGTGTGTGTGTGTGTGGCATTCATCTGGACCTGGCCCTGAGAGTCCAGGGCAGTTCTGGGCTTCAGGAACACCATAATCCAGTTGTTCACACCTTGTCCCCAGATTGACTCTGTCTTCTGCTTCCTCTTTCTTTTGTGGACTTCATTCTCAGAAGTAGTCTCCTCAGGTGGGAAGCTCCATACTTATCCTACTAGCTCAACAATTCCAGTGAAAAGAGAGCTTTTCCAGATGTTTATTGAGATATGTCACATACCAATCCCTAAACCAGTTAATCACTATGACTCTCCCTGACCCTCCCTCACCGACTACAGTCATTCTTAGGGCCAAAGAGTAGAATTATCCCCACAGGAGCCACTAAGAAGGAGGGTAAAGGGTAGATAGTTTCCCCAAAGTATTATTGCCCCCCCCACACACACATACACACACACACACACACACACACACACACACACACACAATTGTTTGTGCGCTAACATCCATGCACCCAGATTTCCTTATTTTGTTTTCTAGCTGAGAACTTATATGACTTAGGCATTCTATGCCAAAATCATTGTTATATGAGATAGATAACTGAGAGTATATTAGCACCTGTTTACAAGTAGGAGGTAACATGCATAGGTATAGTGTTTTTAAAAATTGCACTGACTGTGAAATTTTTGATATTTTTATGTTATATCCATAGGCCACTTAATATGTAACTGTTGCCACTTAAGAGACACACTTTTCTTGAAGTATCATTAAATGTGGGCTAGTAATGAAATTAAGTATAATTATAAAATTACCATTGTTCATCAAATAATTATTATAAAATGTATTATAGCGCTTAGTCCTGCTTAACTGCCTGCCATCATCTTGTTTCATCAATGTCAGAAAAGAACAGTATTTGGCATTAATGGTATAATCTCATGTACTTTTTTCCTGCCTCAACTACCCCCTGTCATTCCAGAAAGTAATTAGGTCATCCAGACATTGATGGACCAGACTTGTTGGGTCGTCTGTTTTTTGCCATTATTTTCAACAGACTCCAGATAATTCCAATTTACTTATCTGCAGTGAAAAAAAAGACTAAAAAGCACTATGCTGAAGTGAAAGGGGGTTGCTAGGGGGTAGGATGAGCAAGGTCTGCCCACTTACTACTAAAATCCACTAATGCCTGGTCAACATTGGAGCTTGTCTTCTCTTTTATTTTTTTTATTTTTCAATTACAGTTTTCACTGGATATTATTTTGTATTAGTTTCAGTTGTACATCACGGTGTCTTCTTTGCTCTGTAACATTCTGTTCTTTAGAGTGGTTGCACAGAATTGGTAGCCTTTTATATGTGAAAAGAAAATGGCTTAATTTGAGTTTTGTGTTTCTGAGTATTTCCTAGTAAAATTAAGCCTTTAGCCTGGGTGGGGGGAGGTTCATACAGCTCACTTCAAATAAGGAGTTGTCATTTCAGAGTAGCCACATTGTCTAGGTATCCAGATTAAGCGAATAGACATTGTCAGAAAAAAAAAAAAAAAAAAAAGAGTAGAAACTCTCACTCTCACCTCATGCTAACACTCACTCTCACCTCAACCACAGAAGAATTCTTGCTGTGGCCAGGTAGCTCAATCATCCTACCCATATGCCAAGGTTGCAGGTTCCCTTGCTGGTTAGAGCACATAATATAAGCAACCAATGAATGCATAAATAAATGGCAAAAAATTAGTATTTCTTTTTTTTATTCCCTTCCCCTCTCCATCCCTCTTCCCCCCCTCCCCCCTCAAATAAATCAGTCAGTAAAAAAGGATTCTTATGTGAAAGAATTTCATTGTGAAACAATAGTTGCTCATATGTAACTTTGGGTAAGTCAATTTTCCCCCTCTAAATCTTGATTTTCTCAGCTGTAAAAATGGAATAGTAGTGGCCATCTCACAGAATTTTGGGAGATGCACCCACACACTAACTGTATATTTTATTATAAATATATTTGCCCTGTAGTCATAAGTCAATACAAATTAGAAGAAATGAAGCCAGGCCTCCATGTTCGTATCAAGCAAGTATGCAAGGAAACATCATCATCTGATACAAGATTTATACCCAATAATTCCATAAATTCCCTTCGGTCACTGTGAATTCAGGACACCTGCAGAGAATCATATTACAGAATCAGAGAACTGAAGCCTTTTCCAGAGATATTATTGGATTTTTTTTTGGGGGGGGGGAGGGTACATGATATTTCCATTTTTAATGAAAGTCAAAAAAATGCTAATATAATTATGATAATAATACTAGTAATAGCAGTTACCATTTAATAAGCCATCTAATAAGCATGTATTCTATGCCGGGTATTATTTTAAACACTGTACATACATTTTATTATTTACTATTACAAGTTCATGATGTAAGAACCGTATTTTCACTTTGTGGATGAGTAAACCAAGGTCCTAATAAGTTAAGTAAATAGTTAAAAGATTATAGGTCATACACAATGAAATTGGGATTTAGTCTTAAATATGTCATCCTAAGTTACAAAATATATAATTAGCAGAGTTTTGAAGATGTGGTTGTAGGTTATTGCTCTTCTTTCTAAATTGCATACTGCATGTTTATCAGCCAGACTTTCTTTTTCTCATTTTATGGTTTGGCTTTAAAGAGAAAGTGTCCAAGAAGTAAAACAGCAGTGACAGCAGTACTTTTTCTAATTTCTCTGTTGCTTTGAAGACCACAGCAATTTAAAGTCATACAGAAGACTAATCTCAAAATTATTGTAGGATCATCTTCAAGGTTCTGATTTTTGTTGTTTGCACAAATGTAACCATGCAGTTAATTCAGTTAAACTTATATTGATTGTCTACTGGGTTCCATTCTTATATGAGGCACACTGTTGAATTAGTGACAAATTCTAATATGGCCGATCTTGGGGGAGTAACTTTCTGCACACTGACTAAATTGGTTAATTTTTCAAAACAAAGATCTTTCCTTTTAAGGATTCTTGCAAAAGCCTGGACTATTACAGGTTCTGTTACAGGTTCTGTTACAGGTTCCTAGAACTTTGAAACAATAGCCTGGTCTAAAGTGGCAGCCAATTTTTAAGCTAGCCTTCAAGCAACTTTACTGAAAG